GTCGTCCACCTTCCTCTGGGATTGGACTCTATCTTACATGATTTCTGCTAATATAATCTAGCTGATAATTTGGTAACGACTATACATTCACATCTCTCAAATCGTGCAAATCACTAAAAGAAATATTTCAAGGAACAATTTGCGAAGACATACATCACTCTATCTGGGAGTTGCTTCCAGAAATAGACACTGTTCTTGAACTGTAAGTGACTTGTGTTTATTTATCAATCATTTATGATCGAATTTTCAGAGATCTCCTCAGCGTCGCTTCTGCCTACCACCGTCGAGGTATTGCAGGAAAAATGCTCGATAAAAGGAAGTCACCCGAATTTTTGAAGGTGAGTTCAGTAGGTGCGTAATTTTCTCTCAGGTCATGTATTTAATATCCCTATATAGGAATTGGTGAAGTAAGTATAATGTACCATAGCTACATAGAGAGTGGGAAGGGCAAATGGCTAAGTTTTTTTTACTAGGTAGGGAATGCGGAGAGGTAAGAGCAACAAATTTCACTTATATATCCTCGCTGATTCAAGAAATGCAGGCTAATCACATATTTTGAGTTCTATAAATCTCTTTATAATAATTTCTCGTCAATTTCCTAAGTTTAAGTTTTTCTGTTTTTGTATAATTGCAAGGCCAATCAAGTAATTTTCTTAGATTTTGATTTTTTGCAGAATGCAGCTGCCCTTCCTTCGATCTAATTTGCATTTCTCTAACTCTCGTTAATCTTTTTTTTACCATATAATTTCTCAAGTAAAATTCCTCGTTCCCATGCTTGCCTTGTTAATCCCTAATATTTTTTTCCAGAAATACGGGGTCCAAGGTTTTGTCTGCCAAGCGTCGTCGTATGCGAATCAAATGCTTTTGAAGAAGCGCAAAGATCAAGTGAGCTCACTTCAGTTCAATACTTCTGTCTTTAAAATGTGTATTCTTTGCAGGAACTAATGGATGTGCCATTCACGAGATTCACTGGGAAAAATGGTGCGCAACTCATTCAACCACAAGACGAAACAATGTCAGTGAAGCTATTTTGGAAACCGTATCCTTAAAACTGTTATAACCTTAAAAATTTTGTTTATATATTTATTCTTGTTGTCTGAAGAGTACAAACCCCGTGATCTCACGTTTTACTAGAGTACAATAAATAATAGTACAGTGTTTATATGTGAAGGTATCAAAAATGTTTATCACGCCTAAATATGATATACAGATATTAGATGTTTTTCTGTGTAGCAGGTTTCTTTATACCAGTTTTGTTTATTGTATCAAGATGTTAAACGACCCTCGCGTTTTTTAAGTAAGTTCGCAATGCTTTTTACCGCTTGAAGAGTCAAGTTAGTATATCCTTTCAAAACATTTGCAGAAACTAAGGTGTTTGTTTATCTAAGACTTTGTGGAGAATGCTAAAAAAAGGCATGATAAACTCTGCAACTATGTCCTTTCATGAAAACTATTGTTGCCGTGCTTTTGTGCGAATAGATTCGCTATTTGAAAAATCGGTCAGATGCTGGAAAAACTGATAACTCATCGCTTGGAATCCTATTTTATTTTATTAGTAATGAATGAGATTGCATTCTAATAAAATATTGGATCCCAAGGTGAGCAGTCTGCCTGCTGCCACCACGCGTTACGGTTAAAAGATATTGGCTGACAAATGTTTCCTATATTTGAAATCCGGCAACTAAAATGCAAAAGATGGTAAACCTCCAAGTTCACTGGAAACTGCACTCATTTGCTA